CACCTCTAAGGGTAGAAATCCAGCATACATCAAAGGCCAACGACCTCACAAATAATAGTCAAGGCTGCGAGACATGCTTCAGCACTTTTTGCCAAGCCTTTCCTCATACGGATGTATACGTATTATGTCTCATATTTTGATCATATAGATTCATTTTGTATCTCAGGATTTCTCATTCGTTTTCTGAGCATGCTCCCTGCAACAAGCAGATCAGCAAGAATGCAGCCACATCTTCAAACAAAAATAATTCACTGGTGGTTGACTCCTGTCACCCCTTTGTTTTCCTTCCACAGCTCCCAGAAATTTTCTCAGTCCCCTCCCCCAGTTCCGCTGACTCCTTATAAATTGGACCCCTCTTGAGTCGGTTCTTGCTAACTTTCCTTACCTAAGCACTGTTTGGCACATTTTGGCAAATTCATCCAGAAACAACAGTTCGCTAGCTCCGCGAAAGGACCTGATTAACTTACTCAGGTTGGGGTAGATCAAGCTGTGAAAGTCTGCATGTAAAACAGGCCCACGCAAATTCAAACAACTTCGTTCGTCAACGGCGCTCGCCGTTCGGTCTCCACATGCTCGCCGTAGGTCTTCCACGAAGCGCTGGAAGTCGGCAGTCTGAAGCTCCATCGCAGAATGAAGCTCTTGGCAAAGACCCATGGCCTCAGCATTCCCGGTGGTTTCCTCTGAAGAAGGTATAGTATATAAACAGAATAGCCACAAAAGGTTTATCAAATAGACACAAAACAGTTGCCAGGATCAGTCCTGCAAAAAGAACAATCAATACACACTGGCAATCCAGCTTGTAGTTTTAGAAGGCAGGACAGTTTGAAGTGGTACCTCCAAAGGTAAAGTGCGTCTCTAAGAAAGGAGCTAGATCCAAAGCTGCCTGACAGGAATCAAACCAAGAATGATTAGGCTCTGTTCTCTGCCAAAATCTGCCCCTTCCAGGTTTTATTTCGCTGGCATGTGGGGCTGTGAATAAGTTATTTTAGCAAATGCAAAATAAGCTGAATAGATGCATAGACATATATTATATAAATAAATAAATATATATATAGATCTCCCAAAATGCTAACCAAACTCTCATGTACAAAGGCTCCGCTGCTCTACCCCCACCGCATCGTTGACAATTGATCAGCTCCATCAAACATCGACACAAACTCATAGAAGACCTAAAGCTGCTCTTACAGCAAGCAGGCCCACACAGGAGGCCCACCGAAACAACAAAGTAAACCATACATATGCACACAGGATATTAGAGACTCCCCAATTCAAGGTTGCCGTGCGATTGCGGTCTGCCTGTGTATCTGCCAGGCGAGCTTCAGTGCTCGCAAGCTGATGTTGCAGCCGTTTCGCCTCGCAATTGGTTGAAACATGACTCACGTTTTGCAAAGAGAGAAGGGAAAAAGAAGTGGATCTTGGCCACTTGATGAAACACTGTGTGTTCCACCTGATGGAAACCTTACAGTATCCCATTGCAAGAAAGTCACACAATTGGTTGAATTTGAAATGCTTTGCAATCAAATCCAAAGCTTAGCAAAACCCTAGGATAGGAATGGCACCCTGCAAGACCGACTCAATCATGAAGCTGCCTCTGAAGCAACTGGGCGGCTCTGGGCTAGCAGGTCCTCCAAGATTTCCTCGCACCAAAAATAGCAGTGTTGATGCGATGAGTTTTACAAAGTGGGTGGGTTAGCCGCCAAACCGCTCATCCCGTAAATCCGTTGCAGTCCACTCCATAAAGCTTGACATTCAATGTCCAGCAAGTCGTTCTAAGCGTCCTTGCTCCTAGTAGCGATGCCCTTTGCTCCTAGTAGCAAGAATGCTCCTAGTAGTAAGGCCAGGAGCTACTAGTAGCGTCCTTGCTCCTAGTAGCGATGCCAGGAGCCCCTAGTAGCGTCCTTGCTCCTAGTCGTTCGTGTTACTCTTCGCCGCACCTACTTGATGAGAACTTGTTCTCCTCAACAGTTTCCGAGTTTTGATCCCTCATCACCCTGGGCACTGAGGGTTACACCACCTGGATCCCAAGGTCTTTCTCCTCAAATGGTGGATCAACAGGAGACAGCAAACAGCCAAGAAGCTGATCGAATAATATACTGTAAAGTAAAATATGTCTATCACGAACATCATGGCACTCCACTGAGTATGTTCAAACAGCATGCCAACATTTAGAGTAATTAATTTAGCCTGAGGCTGTAGGGTATTGTAGGGAATTCCTTGCTGATGTTTCTTTGGCCGTATTTCCTCACCCATCTTTTTTTCTGTTCGCTTTAAGGTCCCTTCAGCGGTATCCCGCAGATCTCTGGGCAGCTGGCAGTTGACGGCTCATCCAGCGTCCCATCCGAACCTCCGCCACGTGCACGGTGCGCCACGTGCCTTCACCCTATCGCCATCGTCGTGCGCCAGCGAAGCACAATGTCGTCAACGCGGGCCATGTGGACTTCAATCGAAAGAAATGGCGAACAACGCGGATTCTAAGATCTGTATGCATCCCTCAAGCGTGGCCTCTGGGTGTTGTGCTCGCACCACACACCTGGATTCTTCGGTTCTATATAATGTGTGGATATTTGTGGATGATTCAACGTCTTCGAGCGGTGCAGATCTCTCTTCACCCTGAACTCCAGTAATCGTCTTGTTATTACCAGAACTGCAAACAGCTGCGACTAAACTCACTTCGACTGAACTCACTTTGACTCGAAACTCTCAAAGACTGATCAGTCGATGAAGCGACTCCACTTCACATCTGTGTCAGTCGTAGATCTCATGATCCTGAAAGAGGGCCCTCACCGGACACATGGCGCGTTTGCGGCATGGCGATGGTGTATGCCAGAATCCTGGTGTATGCGTGCGAATGTGTGCGATTCAACACAAGCAAGATTGAAGCAGCAAAGGGTCAATGGTGGGGTCAAAGACAGAGATGCAACAGGAGAACCTGTTTCACAAAGGAACCAACAAATGAGCAAAACAAGAGTTGTCTCTAACCCTGCTAAACTCTTAGTCTAGTCTAACAGAACGCCGTTCGGCAACAACACTTCACAGGCTGTGCTTTGTGCCGAATTCGTCGATACATTCTATGCGTTCTCCTCGCTTTCTGCTGCTTTGGTCTCTTTGTTTCGCAGCCCGGGTGGCCTCCAAAAGGCTTGGACTCTGAGTCAGAGGCTGTCAACACGCGATGTGCACCTCAGCCAGTTCACTGGCCGCGGTGTCCATGTCGGATCCCATTGGGTCCGGGTTGACCAGGTCAACCGTTCTAGCAGGATTGAAAATACCTGGTATCAACAAATCCTGTGGCCCCATGATGACACCTACTGATGCAATCTATGCAGATCTATGCATCAATTGTACTAGGGGTCAGGTCAAAGACATGTCGGCGTGTGTCTAGAATTGTATGTTAGTTTTTGTTCTTGTTGCAGAGCAGATGCTTGAATCCAACACGTAAAACACAAACTTTCGACTTTCGCAAATCCCCGTGATTTCAATGCCCAAGAACGGGTGCCCCTCACAGAAGGCTCACAAAAATTGGATTTGGCTCCCCGACGTTGCAACTCTTTGGCCTCTATGTAAATGTCCTGATTGCGAAATGCGGAATGTCCGGGCTACGTCGTGATGTCGTCTTGCTCTTCTTCAGTCTCCGTGTGGACTATGTGTGAATCACGCTCTAGTCAAGATCTGACTGAGCTCCAATTACCGGTGTGCCAATCATCATTTTTGGCACCAAGAAACCGGCCCCGATTTTGGCGCAATCCCAAAAGTGCTCCAGGCCCACCTTCGAGGGAGCAGCGAGATTCTCGTCTGCTTCAGGCTCCTGTGCAAACAAACGCTGCTATTGTCACTTGGTTTTGGGGACGCCAAAAAGAATCGACCTATCTGCTTTTAACGCTTGCCATCACCGTCACATAGCCACTTTGAATGCTGAAGCGCAGTTAGCTGCTTATACTGAAATGGTACAACACAAAGGAAGGCAGAACGGACGTAATGTAATGACTTGTGAATTGCAAAGATTGCAAACAGCTGGGAACAACATCTACTTCTAGCTATATAGAGGCCTACAAGTGGGAATCATTCTTCCAATACCTCTGGGAGTGCAAGGACGGATGATGACACATCTTGACAATATATTGACAATTCAGCACATCATATATATATATATAACTTTTTATATTTATTTATATATTCGATTATATGCGTATCTCTAAGAAGGGAACAATTACAGTATGTTCACTGGCACTCTGTGACAAATCTGCTGCTTCTTACAGCCCGGGTGAAAACACAATGACACGGAGCTGCAGTAGCCAACGGAACGGCCATAGCTTTTGCCAACCAAACACTCTCCTGACTCTCCCGGATACTTCCTCCCTGACAAGAATGTAGTAGCATGAATAGCATCCATGAAACGAAACGACAAAACCAAATTGAATTCTGAAGCGACAAAGCAAACAGGGGAGCATCAAGAAAACCAATCATAGGCAAGGAAGCACTGACAAAGCAAACACATTTGGCGGGTTGTCTTTTATTGAGTCCACTTTGGAACACTTGAATCGAATCAACGTGTTTTAATCTAGACGTATACAGTATAATTACTGACTATAATATAATAGTCTATAGTAAACTATAGTATGTTTCCCGTGCTCAAGGGCTGTTGGTTCTTTCCCCATTTTAAAACAAACCGCTTGGTAGATGTTTGCATGTATTCCGACTGTATTCCACTTTCATCCACTCCCAAGATCTGTCTACTTTTGTTCGAATGTGTTTGGTCTTCAATATTGTTTCCTACAAGATCTCCCAATCTCGTTGAGAAGCGGATGCCCAAACCCAGACAGGTCAAATAGTTAAGTCACAAGTCCTTGTCAGGAGATAATGTTCTTCGTGAGGCTACTTGTAGTGCGCTGTCGGGTGATCCTTTGCCAACCTTCAGCCAGAAAAGCCGAGACATGTATCCACTTGGATGTGCACTTCAAGCGTTGGTGTCGGCAAATCACACAAGAGTCACCCTGGCTCTTTTTGCACTGCTTGATTCTTGTGCTTTGGAGTGCAAAGGTTTGGGACTCTCAGGCAATGATCTTGGCAGCACTGTAGTTGCGCACTTGCTCCTGGTTGATGCGCTTCACCTGGCCAGCGGCAAGCAACGGTGACATCGCCACCATGTCCTAAAAGCACCCCCAAACCGATCCAACGATGCCTGTGTCCGGTACTTGAGGTCCTGCATGCAAATGCCCAAAGCAATGAAGGCCATCCACCTCAGACTCCAGTCAAGAAATCGACCATCTCGCCGCTTCCGGCCGCGCCATGCATAAAAACGAAAGACGGACACAAAAACCACCGTGCGCCGCCGGTCGCTCTAAACCCGGCCAGGCCACAGGATCGAAAACGACACAAAGGCACAGCGCGGCAGGTCCGCCGAGGTGCGATCCGTTGTCGCCTGCGCGGGCGCCGAGCCAATGATGACCACATGTCGAATCCATGGGCCCAGCAAGACCACCAAACCTGCAGGCGGCCACGGCCCACGCGAATCGCACGCGCGAGGTCGAGGTGCCGGCGAGACGTGCATATGTTGGGATGTGCCAAGATGTTTCTGCCAGAAAACAAGAGGAAACATCTAACAAGAAGCTATTAGAAACAAGTGCAACGCTAGTAGTAACAGGTGCCTTACTAGTAGTAACAAAAAGCCTCAAGAGGAAACATCTCAATGTTTGCAAACCATATTAAAACCATATTAAACCCATCATCCGCATCATTGACGTTGTTCTTCCGAGACCGGACGCCCATGGAGAAAGCCTTATTTTTTTTCTCAGGATTTGGGATGCAGTCTGCCACCCAAGTTTGGTCTTATGGGCTCCTTTCCAAGAACAGCAAAGTGAAAGTCATGAAAAGAGTGACCGCCCCTCCTGGAAGCTTTGAATTTGGAATGGCTACCAGCAAAATGACACCCAAGACAGAGAAGATCTGAGTCACGATCATCTCCAGATACCATCCCAAGTAATACTGGTCAGCACCAAAGGGGCCAAGAAAGATGCAAAGCAGCCATGCGGTGAGTTGACTCAACCGCTTAGACTGGCATTCAGCTCCTCCATATCCAGGATGACATTGACAGAAAGAGATGCCACTGTCACCAAAAGGCACACAAGAGCCCTTGCCACTGCATACGTCGGCAATCTTCAAGGATGAATCGGTGCAGGAATTGAAGCGTTCTTTGGAGGTTTGATCCTTGTAGGAATTTTGCACCCAATAGTCAGGTTCTTGGCGCCAGTAAGGAAGCTTATGGGGGCTGAACCACTTCCTTAATTCCGAGCTAACACAATTACACAATTGCCCATGAGATCAAGTTCTAAGCTGCACTATCTAGAATCTAGAACCGCGACAAAGAACATACGTCCTTTTTGCATTGGCCCCTGAACTGTTGCTGTAAAAATGCTGCGTCACTTTTTGGTAGGAATCTAGACTCTATCCTGTGTTTCTTCGTTTCTCTGGCCAGATTCTGAGGTAAAGAGATTGCAAAGTCATCAACCTTTGGCATATCCAATAAGCCTCGCAAGGGCAGAACATCCACTTCACAAACAGCTGTTTGCATCTGCATGATGAGGGGGCCTTATTCTGCTTGAGGCAAAAAGGACACCAATCATCGTGCTTGCACCATCCACAATAGCCAAGGCGCTCTCTTCACATCCCTGCAATGTAAAGGACAAACATGCTAAGGCCACAAACAGTGCCAGTCGCACCATCGCGGTGAGACGCTTCATTGCTACTTTCTTTGAGTTTGGAACGGCCACAGGTGGGTGGCTTTGTGATGATCTGGTTGCCTCCTTTGGATCTTTCCTCGTCTTAACATGCTATAAGTACTTTTGTGATGATCTCCATGCATGCCATTTGCTTCCCCCAAAAGTATCTGAGACCCTCTGTGAATCAAACAAACACTCTTGCAATGATTAAAAGCTCATCATCGTTGGTGACACTTCTTACATTTAACCGCATGAGGCCCTTTCGACCATGTCTGAGTCCATTCAGCGTCGAGGTCAGCACCTTCAAGCGCCTCGCCCTGGACAATGCCAAAGCCTGGCACCAACAATCGGCGGGAACCAGGCGACGCTAACGACGCATTCCGACGGAGTGATGGATCCAGTCCCCTTCGGTTAAGTGGAGTGCTTTCACTATTCGTGTGCTTGAACGACCCACGCGGCAAACGACGCTAAATTGACATGGTGCTCGAAACTCAGAGCTACATGATGCGCTTCAACAAAATGAGTATTGTAGTATTGTAGACATCTACACTCCAGAAACAAAGCATGATCTAGGACAAAGACCCTGAACACATCATAAGGACTTTGAGGGAAAAAAACATGGGCCGAGTCCAAACGCCTAAAGCCGCTTTCAATTCCGACAACAGTGAGAGGATGTGAAGGTGAGAAATGGCAAGGGAGTCCCTCTATGTTCCACCTATTTGGATATGCCCAGACCTAGAACAAACCTCAAACAAGCATGGAACCAGTTGCTTGAGGGGGGAGCTGGTCTCCTGCCTATTCCATCCTATTCAAACGGGATGAGAAGGGAATAGCTCCTGCCGGTGAGGTCGACAGGGGAGCAGTTTCTCCGGCGACGAACCGAGCCTCTTCCTTCAGCTCCAGCAAAGGCCGCCGTCTGGTTTCAGCCATTTTTCAGGGCTCCGAGGTTGAATCCAACGTAGATCTTGATGTAGTAGTAGCTGACACATGTTAAGGTAGAATGTGTAAGAACTAAAAAAGACTACAATTCAGGTGATAGGAGCACACATACATACAAATACCTTCTATTTTTCTTGATCGGAAGGACCTGCCATGTGCAAACTGAACTGGCTGAGCCGCTGAAGCCCGTGGCTTGAAGATAGTGGCCAAGGAGAACTGACAGCTACAAAACAAACAGCTCATGTGCAAAGCGCAGGAGGGTCACATAGCTGCTTTCTCCAGATGTTTTGTGAGGGATGCCATGAAACAACTCTGCTGCGCTACTTTGAGCTGCAGCAAGCTGCTGGAACCTGCAGAAGTCTGCAACTGCTGGACTGATCAAATGCGCTTGTGGTGCCCCATCAGTCATCCAATGTTGCAGCAAACCATAGCCGCAGCTGGAGAGGTTGAAGGATGTTAAAAGGTCGTTGACTGGCTGCTCCGCAAACGCCGACGCAGCTCAGTAGTCTTACCGCTGGGCATAAACTCCTCCATGGAAGAACTTTGGAGTCCTTGCAAGCGCTACAAAGACTTGCAACATTCTATCTACAACACCGAGGGACATAGTGCAAAGTCATGCAGCCTCGGCCAAACCTCTGCAAGTGTGGCAAAGATACAAGGTTGACGATTCTGAAACGTCTTCGAAAAAAATTCTATTTCCAACCTTGAAATGTTTCATCCATCAACATCCTTCATCAACATCTGAGAGCATTTTGGAGCTACCCAGACTGTCTGGAGGGGGTCTGGGGGGTCTCTGTTTTCCCTGGGTTTTGAGGGACCAGGAAAAGGGCTGTGAACGGAGCGTCTGGTGTGACTCTTTGAACCTTCTAGTAGCTTCTTGTTACTAGTAGCTTTTTGCTCCTAGTAGTAAGGCCAGGAGCCCCTAGTAGCATCCTTGCTCCTAGTAGCGATGCCAGGAGCCCCTAGTAGCTTCTTGTTACTAGTAGTGGTTTATCCAAGTTGAAGAGAATGCCAAGTTGCCACTTCCATTGCGGACCCGCGCTTCGACTCCCCAATCTTTGGCGGCCAAGGCAGAGCCCGCAGCCAGCAGGCCTTTGGTACACTGGGACCAGGATTTGGACCTACCTGGAGTTGAAAGAATCAAAGTTAGCTCAGAATGGCCAAAAAAGAAGACACATAGAGATGAGATGGGTGAGGTGTTGAATTAAATCGTAACCGAGGGTTATTTAAGGGCTTACGCCCGACAGCCGGCCAGGGGCCCAAGCAAAGGGGAGGGGGCAGGGAAAAAGGGCACGGGGGCGTTGTTGTTGTTGTTGTTGTTAGCCCAGCAGCCGACCACGATGCAGACGAAGCACCCCGGTGCGGCACGCATTTCCAGCATCATTTGGGCATATGTTGGGCCATGTTCACCCATCTTGCGCCGCAAGAGCCGAAAAATTGGACAAGCCAAAAACACTGTAAAACGCGGTAGCTTCAGATGGTCCTCGCGGGGGTCGGCGGCGGGGGTGGGACTCCCCTCTCTCCTACGGGGAGGAGAGATAGCCTACGGCAAGGACACGGCCTTGGGGCCCCCCGGGCCCCTGGCCGGATATGCGCTCGCGCCCCCTGCCGCCGACCCTCGGGCCCAGACCCCCTTCCCACTTCCTCGGCACTAAAGCCCCTGTAACTTACGGTGCTTTGTGTGTGTGTGAGGTGTAAAAAAAACACTGTGTTCTATTGGCTTTATTGCGCATATCGAAGTGCGACGCGGCGAAGATGGAGAAATGCCAAAATGCTGTGCTTTTCAAGGGTGGTGTCGGTAATGCGCGCCGCGCGGACAAGATTAATCGACATTTCGTGGGAGTTAACAGCAAAGGCGGAACATGTGCTCCAAGATGATCTGACAGAGGCCCTCAAGAGGACCCAACATAGGTCCCAGATATGGCACACATAGCCGACATAGCCGCAAGATGACCCTACCTAGGTCCCAGACATGGGAAACATAGCCCCAAGATGGGCCAAGATTGCCTCAAGATGTGGCAACATAGGCCCCACACAGTCTTAAAGAGAGAGGGAGAGAGAGAGAGAGAGACAGAGAGACAGAGAAGACAGAGACAGAGACAGACGGGAGAGAGAGAGAGAGAGACAGGACCCAGCCCTACACAGACCGAAGTGGGCCGGCGCCCGGCTGTTAGGCGTAAGCCTTTAAATTCAGAGTAAGACAGAGCAACGAGGTGAAATTGCCTGGAAGAACAGCCAGTGCAATCAGGGGATGTGGAGTGAAACTATCATGCTGATAGACAAAGTTACAGCGTGAGGGAGACAAAGCAAGGCGCAAGGTCTGTGAAACAGGTGTGTGATGCTGTAAGTAAGACCTCCGCACACCGAGGCCAAGTCCAACCGAAGACGGCTTACACCCTGGAAGATGAACATGGAACTTGAAAATTGAATTCTAGAAGACTATTTTCCTTTACAACCCAGTGGTTTTCAGGTTCTATGTTAATTTTCCAGGGCGTAGGTCGATTTCCACCTGCGCACACGTCGTCCGCCACACCAACTTCTTCTGCACCTCCAATCTTCTGCAGCGTCATCCGCAACGCCTTCGCGCTCAGGGAGAGCGCCTCCGCAGCTGCGCGCTGCTCCAGGGCATCGGCCGTACTTCCAGGAGAACGGCCGTCCACCGGAGAAACATCGTCCAAGGGAGCTGGACCTCCATCAAGCGCGAAGGACCACATCATCTGAATGATATCATGAGAATTCTATGAAAAAAAAACAGGACAGGATCAAGTATACCATGTATTCATGATTGATACAAGATTCATACATGACAGGATCATATCACAGTATACCAATTTTGACATGCTATATATATATCATGTAATGACCAGCTCAATGAGATGGATAAGAAACAGCTTCAGGCCACGATGGTTGGAGAATGTACAGTTCTTGTCTTGGAGCAATCAAGATCAATTTGCAGTATAGTCCCAGAATGTGTAAATGAAACTCATGGTGTCAACGGACTAATGTATTTAGACTTGTATTTAGATGTATGTATATAGTCAAGACAAATTCACAAAAGCTAAGCACATTGGGTCTGAACTGCAGTTGCAGGCAAGCACATGGGCAAATAGTGCAAACATGGAACCCTCCTCCGTTTCGCCCTGCAGCACGTTGCCTGGGCTCGCCGATTGCCGGCAAAAATCCCTTCAAACTTTTCAAGGAGAAGGACCAATTATACAATCTCGGATCATGTGACGATGTTCCTTCAATTTTCGACTATGCTCTCCGCTTTGGCCACCAACACTATATACGTACCATAAAATACCCACCAACAAGAGCTGGGAAGAACAACCTTCGTTTTCGTGAGTTCTTCGATGTACACCTTGTACGAGGCCTACCCGAGCCTGGGGAGTTCGCAGGCTACGAGGGCTTCCTTTCAGCTAAGTGACAAATGCTCTGTGAGGACATGGGCTCCAGATTGGCCTCCTTTTTGGAGCCCTCCAGCAAATGGTGAAGCTCATGCAAGGAGTCCTTAGTAAAACTTGCAAGGGCCTTGAACTTCAGATGTCGTTGATTTACAAGTCACGTATCATATCTAGTACCTATAGTAATCTAGTATCCTTGACTTGTCAAATAAACCTTTTGTTGGTTGAATTATGTTTAACTACAAGGTATCTAGTCGTGGTTATGGTGAACATGAGCTGAAAAGGCGAGACTCATCCAGGCCCTGCAACACAAGCTTGACTGCTCGCACAAAGGTCTGACATCGGTCTACCTCGCTCTTGGGCAAGAGCTTTTTCACGATCTTTCCACCCCACTCGCGGTCACAGCGTGTGCTGCTGTTCTGAAGAGCATTGAGCCAAACATAGACCTGCAGCAGCTCTACAGGACGCGGCCCAGCAAGAATGGCACGAGCTTGGCATTGATCCTACCTGCGTCATGACCCACATACAGTAATATAATTGGCACCAGCCTCATCAAAGTGGTCCAGGAAAGTTGGCACAGACTCCGCCTATCAGTCATGCAGGTCCCATCCGGAGATCTGGCGTTGTGTCATTCATGGATTGATTTCACGTGCATCCATGAACGAACTTACTCATTTGGGTGCAATATCCTGAGATATGCCAATATTCTAGCCACTCGGTTAGTCCAAATTGTGCTTGTAGGGCTGTAAGATTGATCAAGGAACAACAACAGCAAGTGCTGCCAAGCGCTGCCAACTAAAACGCAAAAAAGCGATGGCTTCAATTTGTCAGCACTGAGTGATGGAGTGAAGGCGCCTTGTATGCATTTTGCCAAAGCCTTGTCCACACCAAACCTCGGACTGAATGATCGTGTCTGCATCTGAAGCGAAAGCAAGACTTGCTTTCAGCGCACGTGCTGTGACATAACGGCATGATGTTAGAAGATCAGGTCAAGCATATCATGGACCAAACATGTTTCGTTGTGCAAATCTGACCCAGACTCAGTAGTGACTCAGCCCCGCTTACTGCGTTCTACCGATGTTGAATGTAGCAGTATTGGTTCTCTCTTGAGGCCCTTCACCTTTCCCCCAAAAGCGCCTTCTTTTTGAATCTCGGACTCCCAGAATCGTGCCTCCTGAACAAGGCCAGCTCAACCACTTACACACTTCTCATCAAGTGGACGCTCCCCAAACTTAGGCCAGAGGCCTATTCCGTCAACTGTCAATGTGAGGACTTGAAAAATGAGGTGATGCAATGCAGTGTTGCTTGCTGGAAGGCCTGACTAATCTATGCAGCGACCACTCACCAAACACTTTCATTGCAATTTACAACCATTTACCATAGGTGTCCAGGCCCTTTGAGCTTTCAAGCCAATCAAACCATTCTTTCGGAACTCGGTCAGCCAAGCTGGCATCCTCCGCTCCCTGGGCACCTTGATGCTCTTCTGCAGGGCATCCAGCTCCAAGTCACCAATGCCATCGGCCTGGCGTGTGCCATTTGGCCATCGATCTGGGATGTTGAGATGTGAGACGCGTAGTACACGTGTAGATGCTCTTCCATCTGATTTGTAGCTGTCAATATTTTCTTCAACCTCTTCTGCCTATCATATAAGCTGTTTTGAGTGGGAATACGCACTGGCGCATGGGAAACCAGCTTGTTTGTCTTGTTTCCCCGCTCAGTATGCTCACTGCAAAGCTTGAGTTGCAGCTGGCCCTCCATCTCCTGTGTCGAAGAAGTATATATAATATGTAAATCCGAACTATCGACCAAACCTGACGAAGGTGTTGGTCGAACCACTGGTGTTCGCGGGCTGTAATGAATAGCATTCGACTTCACCAAAGGTCCATTCAATGGACTTCTCATCGATCAGGGCTTTGACTCGTTCCAGATCGCAATGCGAACACTGAGAGTGCAAATGAGCACCATAAGCCATCTTACTTTTCCTCCGAAATGGTCAGTCCGATGTACTTTCGAGGTGAAAGTGATTGAAAATGGTACACCCTTTAGGTGCTTGGCTGACAAGCGACGGGAGGTACATCAATTTGTCACGTAAACATTGATGCCCAAGTCTCTCGATATATAGAATGTCAAAAACAAAAAACACACACAGCCAGCGGATTGTCTTCTATGCCCCAGTTGCGGAGGCTTTTGTCTGCCGCTTTCGGTTGCGGCCTCCCATCTGTTGCATCTGACACTTTCATGAAGCTCCAGGCTCCTCGCGCTCCGTTTCCTCTCAGGTGATCACCGTGGGAGCATCACCTGGGTCGAGAGTGATCCCTCCGGCAACCATTCGTGCGAGTGTCGTGCGTGTGGGTTTGAAAGGAACTGTCGAAGCACTGCAAGGTCTTTCACATGTGTTTCTTGCTTTGGTTTCGCAAGAAAAAACGCCCAATAAAACAGGACCGATCAACACAAAGACTTCACTTGAGAGGACTATGGACTTCTTCGCATTTCGCAACGCATGAAGCGGCCTTCAGGTGTCCGACCTGTCGTGTCGAGTCTAGGTGTCCAGTCTAGGTGTCCCGGGCGTCCGGTGTAGCTGGATAACTGTGACAACTCCAGGGCGATGGCCGCCAAGGGCTTCACAACCTCACCGGTGAAATCACACGACTGACTGTGAAAAAGAAAAACACATGACTGCGGCGAGAAATGACACGTTCGAACAGTCAGGGGTCTAGTCTAGCTGCTAGCTACATCATCTTCATGTATGGCACATAATGTCACATGTGAAAAGCTATACAGTTATACAGCGTATAAGCATATAATCTCTAGTGACGACAAGCAAATCCTACCAAACATGTTTCAGAAGGTAGTGAACACCTGAGATCTGCTGAATCCCCCACCCCCACAAAGGAAGCGACATCGGGAAAACAAACGACATGGCCTTGGCACCAAAAAGGTCCACTCTTTCTCTGATTTCACCCAAAATGGTGACCGTCAAGGGAACATGATGTTGAAACCCTGGAATCCACAAAATGCTTTTCCTCCTTAAGTACACGTCCGTGCAGTGCATTTTTCTTGGAATTGCATACAGCCTGCAGTGAAGTGCCTGCACTCTATGAAGGTAATGGCCGAACATCTTGCAGTACAACTAGCAATGACATGGTGTTCAGCTTCTTTCCTCCACTGAAGCCTATCACTGTGACCTGTCTCCAATTGACCCTTAGGCACGAGGCCTGCTAACACTTGTGATCCTTTGCTTCGCTCCGTCCCACCATCTGGGCACTCAAACCCGAGATCCGTCCTACCGGTGAACCTCGAACTGGTGCTGCGTGAGGTCACCACTGGGAGGCTCGTACTTCTCAAGGTACAAACGAACCGTGGCACCTGGTGCGTTTGCTCAAGCGATGAATTCTGTGGTCAAGTTCCAGCAACTTGTCCAATTCCCGACATAGATGAAGCCAACATGAAGATGTGGAGCGTTCACAACAATATCAACATATCCGCCGACTAAACCAGCCACTAAAAAAAAGGATAAACAAAGTGATGCATGACGACTGACAAAACCATGGTCCAAGTCTGGGAACGAAGGGCAGCTGATCACCGGAATGGGAATGAATGGCAGTGGAAACAAAAACATTCCCTTCAACTTCAGAATGTGATAGTTCAACATGTACATATATATGTTGTATATTGTTGTATAATGTTGTATATGACATAATATAGCGGCTTATCAAACAACCTTTGGCTTGGCGCCTAAACAAACTTGTCCCTTGCATCCGCGCGAACGCCGGGCCGCTGCAAGCCGCTGCGCGCCTGCTACGCCGGTGCCGGAGAGTCGGAAGACAATCCGAGAGTTGTCCTCAAAGATGAAGCGCAGGCCCTGTTTCTTGGAGACGCTGCCATCAACAGGGTCAGTGTACTCGAACATGTCCTGAAAAACAAAAAACATAAACAAACCGTGAAGAAAAAAACAGATCGTCATATTTGTTGTCATACGAAGACCACATATTTGCATATATTTTGATGATTTTGGATGTATTTGATGGACACTCACAAATCCTCCAAGTGGAGTTATTGAATGAACTGAACGCCTAGCATCATTGATCTTGATCTTCAAACCTCCTGGGAACTCCTTTCCCACCAGCTTGCCAGTCTGCGCTTCCATAGCAGCAAACATCTCCTCGACATGCGGGTCAGAGTTTCGAGCCCTAAGAACCACATAATAATTGAAAGGGATCAAATCTATGGACGGCAAAAATAAAGCAACATCGCAGTGCTCCTCTGCCTTGGCCTTGTCAACCCCTTCATAGTCATAGCGAGCGTAGTAGTTCCGGCCATACTCCTTCCAGTGGGCATTGGCGACGTCCTGATCGCGGCTGCGGCAACAAACATCCCCGCTCTGCCAGTCATTTCTGGTCACAAAAAGCTGTCCTCCACGGAGACCAATTTGCCAGCCTCCTCAGTCTTCTTGGCCAAGATTTGAAGCCAAGCCATTACTGCCCACATGCCATCCTCGAGGAATTTCCACATGCATCGCACCGGGAAACACATGTTCTCGAGAGGGTCAGCTGGAAGGTTGGCTGGTACAAGCATAGTTCTTCCAGAGGTCAGTAGATGTTCTTTTGAAGGTCTGCTAGCAAACACAATACTGTGAATTATAATTATGCCTCTCATGTCTGCACATACGTTATCGTCACAGAGGTGACAGGCAGTCCTTTTCTCGGACATGATCTGCGCCGGTCCCAAAGGATTCTTCACCACAAATGAAAGGCGTGTATGTCTCCTGCATAGACAAGTCCAAAAAAATACTTCAATGTAGGTATTGCCAGTAATATCAGTAATTAGGAGTGCAAACCTTTTCTTTGGAAGGTCACGGTGGTCACGGCATCCAGGACATCGAAGTCGTCGTCACATGTCACTCGGAGTGTCCGTCCTTGCCGGGAAAGTAGCTTGTTCCGCTGTCCATGAGGTTGCCGAAGAACTTCCATCCCGTCGGCACTTCGAAGCATGGAATGCCCTTCCTCAGGGGAAAGAGGCATTGAGCCAAGAAACATCATGAAGCTACCTTCCTCCATGTTGTGTTCAGAGACTTCTGCCTTGCATCTTCAAAACTCTTCAACAAACAAAACAGCACAGAATGCGGCGCATGCGGTGGGGGAAGGCCATCAACGTCTGAGCTTCTTTTTGGCCACCAAGTCCAAGGCGGCGGAGGTCGGCATGGACCGAGCACATCCCCTGAGACCTGTCTTGAACCTTGGTGATCAAACCGCTTTTTTAGGAGCTCATGTTGTAGCACGACAAGTAGGCAGGGGGTCAACACCTATAGTCAAACATCCTCAGGCCACTTCAGGGTATGTACAGGAAAGAAACACGATCTGGGTGTTTCTTCCTTTTGACCCAGAACTCAAATCAATAATTGCATTGAATCCGTTTGAAACACATTAATCAATAGGCCAGTTATCGCAGTTGATCCATGTGGTCCAATCAAAGAAAGGATGATATGCGATCGAACGATATCGAACGATCATTCAGAAGTTTTTGAGAGGAAGCAAGTTGTTCGAACAATAAGAAGCCGTATACGCAAGGTTGTTGCGTTTCCTCGGTTCATGATGGGCAGGGCGAAGACTCGCAGTGATGTGGGCGAAGACTCGCAGGACGGTTGCAATGATCTTGACAGCGATGTGAGGTGACGCTGTGGCTCATGTCGGTGAGATGCTCCAATCACTGGCATTTTTGAGCCGGGCCGTCGATGGACATTGTGTAGCGTGCAAGGCGAGATGAGATGCAGTCACATGCCAATATTATACATTGTTGGATCTCCTCTCAAGTTCTTTGCAAGGGGACACATTGGAACACTCCAGCATCACTCACTTTGTGTCTTCCAAAAAATTGTACATATCTCCGACTCCAACATGATGCGATATAATATTGCTTTGATACACAAAAGAAAGGCTATCGGCGATCAAAAGCATTCAAAAAGCCTTCCCAAATCCAAAGAAATCACATCCCCAACGGACGCGCTCCAAGAACTCAAAGGAACGTGTCTGGTCTTTTGTCGACCTGGTCGACGTGTTTCGTGGGCCTTTAAACATATCTTAAATGTGCTACTAGTAACAAGTACATCGCTACTAGGGTCCAAGTGCATTGCTTCGTCCGACATCCGTTTTGTCGTTCCGGCCCAGGCACTGAGGGATGAGGTGCGCATTGGCCACGATCATCGCTAAGGAGTCGCTGGGCGACACGAAGAACTGCGAGCCGCAGATCATGTTGCGATCGGCGTCGCCGTCGGCCGCGGCGCCGAAGCTAGGGATGGGCTTTCCGGTGGAGACCTTGTTGCCCTCCTTTCGGATGGCCGGATGATGAACAAATAGAAAAAGAACAGGAAAAGCATGGAAATGCGGATGTGTTCTACAGATTACATAGGTAGACCAAGCGCTATACAGAAATCAGATTAGGCAAAGGCACACAAAGCACCTTTCTTTCCAGGTACCAAAGAACATATCAATATATTATATCGATTTATATCATATATGAAATCATTTGGCTGACCATGGACCAGCAACGTCCACGTGGATTTGAAGGCTTTATCTCAACCAGCTGCTAGAATGATCTGGACTTTGCTACTCAAGCAAGTCTGCTATGGTTTTCACGGTGTAAAACAATGACACCTAGATCACTGACCACTCGTCTCGAAAAGCAGAGTTCCTGCCTGCAATGGGTCTTGGGGGTCTTGGCGGCTTCTGCGGAACCTCATGTCGCCTATTTCGCCTCTGTGGAACCACGGAATCGCCACACACGTTTCCTCCCATCTCCTTGTTGAGTCCCATGTCTTTCACCAGCTCCACCGCATAGGTCAAGTTGGGATCAGCATGCCCGTGCCAGGCCGAGCTTGGGCCACCGAAGTCCGGCAAAGGCTCCGCGTTCTTGGAGGTCCCGGCAGGTGCACCCAACTCCTGCTCAAAGAAGCGCAGGGCGTAGGGCCCTTGGACACCGGACATGGAGTCATAGGTCATACCTGAGCAAAGGGAAGGACAACTAAGGAAAAAAAAACAAAGGTTTTTGTGCAAGAACACACAAACAACATATAATCCACGTCCTTCATTCACAAAAATATTGGACGGGCAACTGAACTCTGGATGTGCAACCAGCTTCTTGATGCAAGGAAAGTCAAAGCAATTCCTTAGTACACCAGGAGCTGATGCTCCATTGTCTTAAACATCAGCCGTACTCTTTACACATCTTTGCTCAGTCCTTTCGATTCAAAGACACAGTCACTTTCAAGTCAGTTCCTCAAACAAATCGGCCCGGGACGGAATGCTGCGGGTCCAACAAGCAAAGAAAAAGAACAACACGAACTGGGTGTGCATAGGAGGACCCCCCAACCAATGGGTTTTGGCCGGGGTCGAACTGGGATGTCTCCCTATTTCAATACACACTCATTTGAAATGACCCCCTCAACATCCCTTAACCACTGATCCCCAAGGTTCTTCAAAATCGCCAAATGGTCGGCCACGGAGTCGAAGACTTCCACTGATTTGCCGTTGGGCAATTCAAAGAGCTGTGGCTTGGAAAGGTCAAAGTCAGGGAGCTTACCTGAGGCAATCTATGGCAATCTACGGAACCTGTCTGGGCCCCCCAAAGAACCCAAACATGTGAGAAATAGGGGTCAAACGATTCCATGGTTTGGGGGGTTGACATCCTAGGAGTTTGATCTTAAGAATCGGTTGCCACCAACATTCATGGCTTTGCATTTTGTGACTCCCTGGTGGTTCCACACATGTGATGCATCTATTGCATGTCATTCATAAATAGCGTGACGCGAACGCAAGATCACTGACCCAAAATCATGGGATGGCATCACCTCCCTGATAGTCTGGCACTCGATATACAGTAGCTGATATAGTGTCCAAAGGTTAAGTAGGATGCCTTGGGGTGGCCCAAGGGTGCCATGACCCACATCCCCACCTCATGCATCGCTCTGAGGTTGTTCGATCCAAGACACTGCAAGTCTTCAATTCCGTAATCTTGGCAGTCCATTCGACCATCTTGTTGGTCAGCTTTTCGGGTGCTGGGCCTCCATTCTCGCAGTTGTACCTCAACACGGCAGTTGTACCAAGACAAACAAGACACTAACTAAATGGTCTTCCCAGTCTGCAGAACCAGAAAGGACTCTTCAGCGGCATCCCGTCAAGTTCATCCGGAAATGCCATGACATTGTCCGGCTTGGCTCAGGCTACAAGAGCAGCAGTGCAAATGGTAGATGCATGTAAATGCATCCAGTCATGGAGCAAATTACATCTACTAAGACTGCAAGCTCCGTGTTTCTACAAATTGTAGAAGTAGTCATGGCCAGGCCTATAGTAGACTGGCCTATAGGGAGGAAGCAAGAGAATGTCAAACGGGTTGCTCTCATTTGTTATATACATTATTGTGGTTCCTTTCGCTACAAAACTGGACTTGACCTTCTGCATACTTTGGTCTTGTTCAGTCAAATCTTCTTGACACTCCTTTCTTGAAGGGAGGAACAATACTCAATGCCCTACAACTTGAATTAGTGTAGCTGGCTTCTTGACATGGATAACAAAGAAACTCATGACGACAAAATGGCTATATATGGCTATATAAAGCATGCTCAAGCGGCCAATGACTTGATCGCTGGCAGATTCACGACAAGGCACTTAATGCCAAAATCGTTGTCGATGCCACCCGGGTTGTGTGACGCGGAGCAAATAAATCCTGCTGATGCGTACGGCTGTGAACTGGAAAATGTAGAAACTTCAAAGACTAGATTAGCATGTAAAGAGGAAACATGACAGTGTCCCGCTGAACACTGTAAGGGCAATGAGAAAGTGGATCCCGCAAGCATGTGAGCTCGAAAACATCCATGCCAAAGCAAGTCATTTCGACTGTGCAACTCGAAAGACATTAAAACAAATAACATCTTCTTCGCCAGCAAATTGCCGATCCCTTAACATTACATATCGTTCTCCCTTAACATATCGTTATCTATCTCTTGTTGCTTCGCCGTGAAAACCGTTGCTTCGCATTGCTCCGCCTCCAAAAGGCTCGTAGCCTTTTCCTCCCCGGCATCGGATCACAGCCGAGGTGGCCGGTGTGGAGAGAAGGCCTTTGGTGCCACACCACACCCGGGCCACGCCAGCGGCGAAGGCCATTTTGATGATGATTTGGATGGCCTCACCACAAAGGTATGGCCATGGATGGCCATTCAAATGGCTTCAAAACAATGTGGATATCACACAATATGGTATGGCCATGATTGGGATGTGATTCAAAAAATGATATCCAGCCACAGCCACCTGGAGGTTTTGCTTCTTTTTTGTCGCACTCGGTGGTTTTGGATAGTACCCTATGCTTGAGCCATGTCCACATGACACACAAATCGATGAATCAGGCAAGCGTAAAAATCAGCATTTGGAGGAAAGTGAAAAACGGTATATATATATATATATGTATATAGACTTTGGACACATCATGGAATTCGGTTGACCCAAGTATGTTGTCTCCTCGCTGCGGTATTTTCCATCAACGAGTGCTGGGGTGCAACGGTTGCCGAAAGAAGGAGCAAAGGAAGACTGGTAATGAGTTTGGCAGCGGGAACAAAAGCAAAACAACATTTCGCACTTGGAATATCTATATAAATGCTAGAGCCTAAGGTATTTCTACTTTGGAGCCTCTTCTGAAACGTTTTTCCACCCCGGATTTAATAAATGTATTCAAGGGTTCAAGAAGACTCTGATTGGTCCAGGAGTTCAGCTACGATCATGCGTATTATCGTTGTGCTCAGATCCGCCTGGAGAGCTCCAAGGGCAAACCACCTGTATTATACATGTATACAGTGAACTCACCACCCCCCCAAAAAATAACGGGCACTACTGTACACCTTTGTTTAATTGCTTTGGACCTCGTTTCGATCCAAAAACTGTTTTTCCACGATGAACCCGTTGACCCGGACCGTGCCTCGGGGTTCCAAAATCGGCCATCGCCGGAGACCACCAAGGTTCCACCTTGTACTGGAACCTTCTCTTCTTGCAGTGTGTTGAAGACACTCTGGACGTAGTTGGCAAGATACCTGACATTTGAGCTGTTTCATCTTATCTTTTCTTCCCTACGCTTTTCTTTTACTCTGTGAACTGTTCTAGTGGGCTGGTGGGACGAAAACGTGTTGAGGAATGCACAGTTTAGGTGGCTGTGGTGCCGTTTCCAGAACCTCTCAGGGCTTGCTGAGGGGTTCTGGGGGCACCACACTGACCAAGCTTTTGAACTTCTTATCAGAGCCATACTCATGCCACCATGTGTTTGGAAACTGCATTAGTAATAATAGATGGACAGTCTTTTCCTTTATGATAATCATTGGGTGAGTAAAGAGGATTGCTATTACCTATAAATGTTTATTCTACCTCCTTTTCTTCGCATATTCGGCTTTGTTTTTGACCGTACATGTCTTTTGTTGCACACATGAATCACGCAGCGGCGTTCCAACTTCAACACATATGTGAAAAAAGAGACAAAGCCTTTAGACGTAGAGCTCCCAGAGTCTTCTACTGTGTCCGTCAAGTTGAACTTCTGAGGTTCGGCATCTCTGAAAAAAACCTAACAACATTGTCCATACTGAGTGATGACTGTCTGATCACTCGAATCCCAAAAATGGATCTCTCCGCTGGTCATCGAGGTCGACAGTCCACGGTGGAAACCAGATGATGTGTTCCCCGCTGAAATCTGCAGGCAACATGGCCCGGTCGAATGACACTGGATGACACAATGAATGACACCACATCTCGGATGCAGGCTATGCCAGACTGAATGACACAATGAGTCTTGCAGTAGGTTGATTGACACTGTGAGGCTTTGGGATCGACGGTTTATTTCAGCAGGTGGAAAACAATGAGGGAACGCGTCTGACAAAAAGAAGCCTTTTGGAACTCGGTGCTGTGCACATCAACCTGCTAGGGTTCGGAAAAACACATTGCTTTATAAGCGGGACTCTTAGTGTTGTATTCGATGGTATATAGGGGTTGTCCTGAACTCCCGAAAAGGGTCTTTCGCTTCCATTGGCAAGCCTTTCGTCTGCTTTCATGCACATTATTTCCGCGTTTGTTCTCGTTTCTGGCTTCATCGTTTGTGAACCTCTACTTGCTTGTTGCTGTTTGTGTTCATGGCCGCTCTACAAAAACAAGTTTGGAGACCAGTTAAGTCCTTACATGTTTGGAAGCAAGAGTCTTTGGACATCGCTGGAGGCTGGAGTTTGCTGCGACATGTAGTACGCTACAAGTACGTCACTCGTGGGGGGACCACCTTCCGGATGCATGCAGATTTGTCTTTCGCGACCTTTCACGAGCTTTCCCAAATCTTTTACTCATCTTCCCATCCTGTCTTCCAGCAAAAAACAACATACTCTCACACTGCATAAGCTATAACTAGGTTCAAGTTCAACGACACATAGCTTAACTCAAGCATACAAAAAGCCAAGCATGAATTATGCAAAACGAAACCACAACTGCATTGCCAACAAAGCAAGAAGGGTTCAAGCAAACATGGACCATGTTTTTATTCTTTTGGTGTGGAAGCAATATAGGACACATACCGACTGTGCGGTGTGAATCATGATGCACAAACAGGAGTGAATTGGAAGCTAGAGCCAAAATGCTTCAAGGTGCAAAGTTTTTCCAAATGCAAAGGTGGTTAAGCTTTAAGGTGACATTTATGTATGATAAAAAATTATATATATAGTCGGTTTAAAAATGTTTAAACCCGTCCTTCGCGAACCTTTCGCCTCCCTTACGCAAGTTTTCGCGACATGAAGCGTTTGCCTTTAACAGCATGACATGAAAACTCGATTACTATCTATATATCCTAGACTGGGGTTTTCGGACAACTCCTATATGTACGCGTAATGAAATATTGTGATATAGCCGCATAACATATCGACTACATTGGATACATGATGCTACATAATTACACAACATCATACAAATGAACAACAACACAACAAATATAGTACAAAGACCCTGTTGTATCATGCTGTCTCTTCTTTCCTCCGCCATGTCACGTGCCCTCCATAAAGATCTTGGTCTTCTTCCGCAGGCCGGAGGTCCCTGGCTTCTGCCCCTCGATGGGCTTCGTGGTGATGGTCTCGATTGTGAAATCCCCATTGACTTTCACCATGGCGCTGCACCGGAGGACACCGACACCGACAAGGACACGGAGGAGGCGGATTTTGTCCGGGGCAACGGCGGGCAATGCCGGGCAAAGCTACGAAGTCCGAAGCTGGAAGATGCTGGAAGTGGTTTGAAGCCTGTGGGGGGGAGAATACCAATCATAGCAGACTGGCTGATCTAAGGCAATATCTCTGGTGCTGATGTTGACTTACACTGAAGCTGTTTTGGCTTCGGCGTTCCAAGTCAACTTTCTTGAGAAGACTGTCCACTCAAGTGTTCAGCACTGCCTTCTCCGTCCTACTAAATGCTCTGTGCTTCAAGAGCATCCCTCACACTCATGAGTCAATTGTTTATTTAGACACAAATTGTTTGGAAGGTTGCTTTGAATGCAGTAGTCATCGGCATACGCACCTTCAAGGTGCTCATCAGAGTCGAGATGCGTTGGATACACTCGGTCACTGCAGCCTGGTCATGGTGAGGTGGGCATGGTAAAAAGAAAAAGCCGTAACTCGATCGGTCAGAAGAGGTCACTGGGCCATTCCGCCGCTCTACTGTCATCGACCACATGAAGCATCAAACTATTCAGACTTTGTTTGCAACATGATGCCGTGCAAAGACATATCGAACACATCGGTCAAAATACCTCCGATATCTCCTCGTCTCCGCCGTGCTCCACTTCACGGCATGACATGAGACTTCGCCTTGACTTGCTCCGAAGCGCTGTTGCCCTGTGACCGAGCTGAAGCTGCGTCTTGGGTGAGACGAGACATCAATTAATACTGAGAAATCCTGAGCACCGCTCCACCCTTTCCTTTTTTGGAGGATGACACGTCAGTCATGAGCACTGAAACCAACCCAACCTGAACTTTGGCTCAAGAAATAAGTGCGGCAGCTTTTTTAGCTTTTGGTGTCGCACGCTCAGGTTATGAGCCCAAGCGACCTGCCATGTCATCGACAACGATGAGAAGAAGGAGAGCGGCGAGCGACAAGGCAGCTGCGGAGGCGGCGCCGGTGGTGATCGGCGAAGCGGATCGCCGCCTGGATGCGCTGATAGAGGAAGAGGTGAGGAGGTCGCGATCGGCGGATGCGGGGCCGAGGAGGGCATCGGATGTGGGAAGCACTCCTAGGGGTCCACCAACCTCCTTTCGACCGCCTGTGACTGGGTCCTCGGAGGGCAATCTCAAGGCACTGGAAGATGGAGGAGAGGTGGGGCCAGCAACGCTGAAGTCGGTGAAGACCAGCGAACCGGTTGGGGCACCTTCAACATCGACCAGTTCCACGGTGGGTTTGGGGGCACTTCATGACGCGGTCCAACGAACTTATCATGCACTTCAACAAGCACTAGCGGGACAACCTCAAGGGCAGGGTCTACTCGCACCTCTTGGACCTGGCATTGATCCGGGAGCTCGAGGAGGGCTGTTTGGTGATGGCAGCGGCTTGGTGAATCCACGAGCCTTGGACTATGGGCAGGGAATGGGACAAACACCAAGTCGATCACCCAACGTCAATCCCTTTTGGAGTCCTGGTGTTCAGGAGGCTGCGAGGCGGACTCTGGTGGAGGGAGGTCAACCTGGAGGTGAAGGTCTTCTTCCTGGAGGTCATGCGGAAGCACGAACGTGTGGGAGCACTCCGGCGGCTGCTGGGGCAGGTGCTGGACCTATGGCACAGGACTCGGGATCGATGTCGCCGGGTCCGGAGGATGTGGAAGCCCTGAGAACCAGAATTCTCCGGGAAGCTGAGGAAGCATTTCAAAGGGAACTTCGTCGACTTGGCACTTCCCGTGAACCAACGGATACGACTTCCTACAAGACGGTTTCAAGTGGTCAACACTTGGGAGACCCTGTACCGGATCAACCCCCTGGACTACCTCAAGGGCGGCACCCATTGTCGAGCTCTACGGTGGACCATGGATCTGGGCAGAAGGTGGTGAGAATTGGTGGTGGGGCCTCGACTGCATCGACAACGGAGGCGTTGAGGAACCTTGAACTTCCTGCCCTACCCTCTCCACATGTTGAGGGAGCTTCAATCTTGTTTGGGGACTGGCTCACTATGAGTTTTCCCTTGATGGCTGACATTTCGCATAGCGCCAAGGCCTGGTGGGAAGAGTCACTCTCCATTGCGCAGGAGCACTATGCACGTTGGTTGACGATGACACCCCTGGAGAGACTGCGTGCGAAACCAGTGGTGGTGGTTGAGCCTGCACTGCAGAGGATTGAACAAAGGGGCATTGCAATGCTGTTGGGGGCATTGCCTGATCAGCTCCGGCGGGATCTTGTCAGTGGGCGGCAACTCTCGGTGGTCCACATCCTGTACCGCTTACATGTGGCGTACCAGCCGGGAGGAGGGGCGGAAAAAACGCAACTCCTCAAAAGTTTGGTGGAGACAAAGTTTGCCACGGGGACGGCAGATTTGCTGACACAAGTGAGGTTATGGCGACGATGGCTGACCAGAGCGCAGGAACTTCACCTTACGCTCCCTGACCCTGTGGTTCTCATGGTCACGGTGCAGCGCATGGTTGACAGTGCCACCAAATCAGGAGGCGCTCAGATGGCCTTTCGCATTGCAAACGTGAGGCAAGAATTACGAGTGGATTATGCACCAACGGTGGAAGCAGTGATGGAGCTGTCTGAGTATGTGCAGGCGGAGGTGGAAGAGGTCTCGCTGACGACACCAATGAAGTCCCAGCCGGCAACCGCCACTACCGGAGCTGCAGGAAATCAGACCGTGACATCTGTGAAGGCTGTGGCATCATCCTTTGGGGCTACGGAGTTGGAGGATAGGTCTGCACAAAAGCCGGCCTGCAAGTTTTGGAAGAGTGAGGAAGGGTGCAAGCGTGGCACCAATTGCACCTATGCCCATGACACCACGGACATGAAGGGTCGCTGCTTCAATTGCGGAGGACTTCACATGAAGAAGGATTGTCCGAATGGGGCCAGGGGAGTGAAACCGGATGCGAAAAGGGTGGCAAAGGTGAAGACCGCGAAGGACTCCGACAAGCCAGAGACGGGGGAGAAGCCTATGCCAGAGACGGGTAAGCTCGATGATGCACGTGGAGATGGTGGATCACTGCCGACTGCAAGGGCGGAAGTGGTGTCGGACAAGCCTCAAGGCAAGGATGCCACGGCTGAGTTGTTGACGGAGGCCACTTCGCTGTTGAAGGCGTTGAGGACTATGAAGATGCTGCGATTGAAGGAGCTGAAGCCACAATGCTCGAATGGTTGTGAAGCGTTGGCTCTCTTGGACGGTGGTGCAACCAATGGCTTACGCCGAGCCCGTCCACATGAACTGACAAGATTGGTTCCTGTCACGGTGGAGTTGGCATCGGGATCCACGACCTTGTTCCGTGTCAAGGAGCATAACACGTTGCTGACCAAGGAAAATGTGGAAGTGATAGTTCCATTGCACCGATTAGTGAAGTTGGGCTATAGACTGCAGTGGACTTCAGCGGGCGTCAAGATCACCCATCCTCAAAGCGGAAGGATTGAGTGCGCACTGCGAGGTGGTTGCCCTGTGCTCTCGGAGAAGCAGGCCCTTGCGTTGCTGGACATCATGGAGAAAGAGGACAAGGGGGAATTGATGCTGGACGAGGAGATTCGTAATTGGTGGTCATCAAGATTTCCGGACGTGCCTCAGGAGGTGTGGAACCACATGCGGGGTCAGGACCACTACAATCCGGAGGAGTGTCCGTGGAATCGGCATCAACGACGACGGCATGCTCGCGCACCAGGAGTCATCATTCACCTGTATTCCGGAAAGGACACCAAGACCTGGACAGCGGAAGATTGGAATGGCTATGAGGTCCTCAACGTGGACATCGCCTTGGGCACCCAGTATGACATGCATGCAGTGGGAACCTGGGGATACTTGTGCCATCTGGCCAGATCTGGACATGTGGTGGCGGTGGTGGGAGGGCCTCCGTGTAGGAGTGTCTCACGACTACGGCATCGAGAACCTGGTCCGCGGCCGTTGAGAGGAAGAGATGAAAGGCGCTTTGGTTTGGATGGCTTGTCGGCTGTGGAGCAGGACTTGGCCTATGGGGACCTGGCGTTGGTCTTGAAACAGTTTGGACTATGGTTGATGGCGGAGGAGGCCAGGGTGTGCTTGGGAGAAGGTCCAGGGCATCGGTCAATTTCTCCTGCCTATCTGATGGAGTCTCCGAGGGATCCGGTGACCTACATGAAGGAAGAAGCTCTCCAGGAGGACATGCCTAGCTTCTGGAACTTCAGAGAGGTTCGGGACATGATGGAGGTCATGAATGCAAAACTGATCACCCTGGACCAAGGCCCCGTTGGTCATGTCAAGAGGAAACCTACGAGCCTGATGGTTGTCAACATGCCGGACATGGATGAGTTGGATGGCATGACAGGGGATGGGACTGGACAACAAGCTGCAACTACATTGCGAGGGCGGCTATGTCAATCACGAGAATGGTCGGCATGGGCACCGGGGCTTGTAGCTGCGATCAAGTTGAGTTTGAAGAGATACCTGGGCAGGCTGCATAGCTCTTCAAATCATGAAGGTGATGGACGACCTGCACTTCAACGCATGGACATGGAGGCCTGGAAGGACCATGTGAGGAACCAACATCAGCCCTACAGAAGAGACTGCCGGAGATGTATGGAAATGATGGGCATGGATGCACCCCATCGTAGAACTCGGGGGGATAGAGCGGCCTATTGCCTGTCCTATGACATCGTGGGTCCTATGCCAGAGGGTGAGGACGTGGGATTGGGAACCAGAGCCAAGTATCTTCTGGTTGCAACCGTGGCCATTCCGAGGCTGCCTAGAGAAGACCCTGATGATGGAGAAGCAAGGGAGCTGGATGGAGAAGATGGCGATCCACTGCCTATAGGGGAGGAGGATGAGGATGAGCGTCCGGTTCCTGATGATGAGCAGGTGCAAAAGTTGAATAGAGCCTGGGAGGACTACATCAAAAGCCTGGGAGAACCGGTGGGTGTGCAGAACATCACGTTGGTGGAGCCATTGGAAAGCAGGTCACAGGTGGATGTCACCAAGGTTGCCACTCGGATTTTCTGTCGGTTCAAGGCGATGGGAGTCAACATGCTCCGGGTACACACGGATAGAGAGTGTGCCT